AACTTTACAAATAAAAAATTCTCTTGTTGCCCCCCCGATCCTTAAATTGACGGGCTAATATGTGCCTTAATGCAAGCGGATATCCTTGGAAAAGGGCTCAAATTACCCGGCAAAGCTGTTTTTAGGGCCCCATACCTGGCCGAGCCAAACCACGCACAATACCGAACAAATATGACGGAAAATATGATAGTCCCGCTTTGTATTGCTTTGTGAAGGCTCTCATATTCATATTTTCTTTCACGAATTTCATTCCTTTGAGAGCCGTTTCGTATGGGTCGGAAGGTATTAGCTATTAAGGTAGATAATGGGAACTGGCCGCGTAAAAAACCATGCTCGTAAACCCTAACGGGATCAGAATCTGGGTTTGGAAAGTGTTCAAGTAGGCACTCAGAACATACATGTTATGCAACATGCAGCCGAATTATAGTTTCCTCGGAAAACTCATAAATGCTTGCTAATGCCCTGAGAGCTGAGAGTAGTTGGCAAATCACAATCCAATTAGGTCGATTTCAATGCGGAATCGTATCCACACCAATGGAAAAAACGTATTCATTGAACATTAACATCGTTGGTGAGCAAATAAACCTTCATTAAACGGCATGCAAATTGCCCATATAATTACATGCAATATTACGTGAAGCAGTTTTAATATGTAAATTAATGCTAATGCATCTGCAAAAAAACGCTTAATGCCTCAAATCATATAAATATTCTGCAACTAATTGATTTTGTTGTTCAGTTTTTTTGAATTGTGATATTTTCATTATGCACAAACAGGGGGGTGAGCACGCACACTCTACACAATTTTTATTCAAATAAGTAAATTTTTCCCAATCAACCAAGACCGAGGGTAAATATTTAAACGATCCGAATCAATATTTGTTCGCCATTTCCAATTAAACAAAAGACTTTTTGCGGATTGTAAGCCAAATATTTGCCTCGGGTTTGTGGGCACACATTTTTGGTATGATCGGCGATGACATTAAACGCCGACCCATTTCTTGGAAACTTGACTGTGTACTTTTCGCAAAGAGAATGGCGTTAAGGTGAAAAACAGCTTGAATGGCTCAATTTCAGGGCACAAAAACCCGATTCTCAATTCCCAATTTCAGTCAGTAATATTATTATAAAGCAATTGTGAATAGTCCACGAGGTAAATCGCGTCTTCTTCCAACGGCCAGCATGCCAGATAAAAAGCTTAATGTCATAATAATTTTGTTGGAAGCCATTTGGTGAGAAATACTTCACTTTACACACGCAAACTTTCGTTGCCTGATAGATAAAGAGGCGTACCATATAGCGGATTTTATCTCCGGGTCTTGTGTTGCGTTTTCACCCTCCTTAATCAATTGGAAAGTTTCCATAGATCCAAAACTCCGTTCTTTAAACCCTGAAGGCTTCTCGTTTAAAATGGCTTAATTCAGTCTCAATTGCAAACAAACATCAATAGTTAATGGCGTTCGTGTCCATAAAGAGGGATGTTTTGTTTGGTTTGGTGAGATTCATAGCCTTACATGGTATCACTCTCACTAACAGCACTTAAGGTTTATGAGACACTAAAACCTTGTTCGTACAAATATCCTAGCAAAAGCCGTATTAACAGTTTTTTTTTGTGGTGTTTCGTACGAAATGACAGCCAGAAAGATGGTTAACATTCTGCCTTGGCCTATTAGCGCGTGAAATTACTTCGGCTAAATCTCGTATATTAAAAAGTTTACGAGTGACGAGTCGCACCCGAAATTGTGGATAATTTTGTTGGGCAAAACCCGAAATCGAGTTGATTGAAGAATTTCATTACATACGAAATTTGGTGAGTAATTTTTAGTTTTTTTAAGAAGAAAAAAAGGAGTGAAATTTTGCCTCTTCGGTGCAAAAATTGATTTAATAAAAATTTTCATTTTTTCAAAAAATCGACCTCCCTTAGAAAAATATCGGCCAAAAATCAAAATTTCACATGCGTGTTTTTTGAGCTCAATTGATTCCTTTCGACGTAAGAAGATCACAAATATGCACTTATAAAGTGTTTGGGTCAATAATAAGCAAGAAATCGTCGGATAAAGGTCGAGAACGCTCAAAAAACGCTTAAAAAGTGCCAAAAATGTCTATTATTTCGGATCTGAAACTTCTAGAATGTTTTTCAATGAGTTCGATGCATT